AAACTTTAATGTTTCATTTCGTTCTGTGTTTGTTTATAAAAATCTGCAAAAGGAAATCACGAGGAGGGTGAAAGAGCAAGAACCTCAGGGGTAGGGGAAACATTTATTCCTAAGAAGGGGCCCTAAGATAAGGCGGGCTGGGAGAAGAGGGCGAGTTCGAAAGGCGGACAGATCGGGGAGAAGAAGATTACGTGTGAACGTCGGGAGCCGACAGTTGCAAGATCTGTTACACTGCTTAGGCACTGCTATTTATACGTATATGTTGAATTACATTAACGTTATGTTCTTCGATTTGGTGTATTAAAATAAGAAATTGAGCTATTTGCTTCAAGCACAGCTATTTGATCATAGGCACAAATCAAATGATCGACACGTGCTACCATCTCGAAATGTTATCTAAGCATTGCTGCCCTTTACTGAAACTCAAATTATGCTGAAACTTTATAATTCTTAACAGCACAAACTTGATGCTGGAAGACGACCAGGCCGCACAGTGTTTGTCCACGCATTACTTCCTCGCAACATTCATACGCAGTTTGTATCGGTTTTTGACGATAGAACGTTTTCAGGCATTCAATGTCCAGACTAACTGATCTTGGCAATGAGCGATTCTCATTGAAAGCTTCAACTTTTTCCGGTAATGGGATGTCAATGAACCTCTCGCTGAGGACGTCCGAAACGGTGCAACCCAGTGTTCGATAGCCCAAAACCAGACAAAATCTAAAAAGCAAATTATATCAGAAATTATGCAAAATTATGCAACTCATGTGAAATTTTTAAAAAGGAACAAAGATTCACAGTTTCGCCTTGATAAACTGGCTGATGGCTCCAGACAACGGCCAATTTATTTGGTGCATATGAGAAATTTAAAAAAAAGGAACTCGGGTAGATATGAAACAGCAAAAACGTATACAGTGATGTGACTGTGAGCGTGCGGTTTTCCTACATAGACATAAAATGCGACTGCTGTTATTTCCAGTGCTTTTGATAATTTAAAAATGCTATAAGAATTAAAAATGAAAAGGTTTATTGAAATGTCCTAGGCTATGGCTCACTTACGTCAAGTTTATAACATTTAAAAATGAAAAAGCTTTCCCAATTCATTATTTTTCATAGCAGTCTTATATAAGCAACCTCTAATACGCCAAGTAAGTCTAAAGCTGGCGGATTTGATTTAGTCTTGGACCGAGTCAACAGTCTGATTCTGCCAACAGAGAAATATTTAGGCGGTAGAATGGAGATCAAGTATGTCAAGGAGTTTACTCCGCACAATCTTACCGTCGACAGGTGCTTCTTATGGAAATTGCCTTCATTTGTCCTGCGGAACAGGGGTACTTATTAGCAGTCTTACAGATAGTTGGTGGAATGCTCATCTAACCACTTTTGCGTACCAACATTTCCTAAATTGTGTGAGATATGCAAGGATCTTGATTCTTGATTTTAAGATTTTATTGAAAATTATACTGAGATTGATGAAATGTATGAACAAACCCAGTCATAGTATTCCTTTGATAGAAATCGAGCACTCGCTTATGCAAGCTTTCGGTGAACGGTTCCAGTGCATTATCGCACCAAACGTGAGCGCAGGCACTGAGCATCAAATCAGCTGTCCCTTGACTCATCACATGATAATAGGCCGATGATGCATCCTTTGTTATTGCCACAAATGCGTTCTCAAGCGGCGTACGAAATCGTCGATGTCTGAATACATTCTTCGATAACGTCAACATGTAACAGAGAGCTGAAATTTTTCCATCGCTACAAACGAAAAAGGGAGGATCATACTAAGGTTTTGGAGAAAATATGAATAAAAATGAAAAAGTTGTGAAGAATTATTAAAGTTGGTAAGAAATGTTTCGGTCCATTAAGTCGTATACATTTCTTACCATTGCC